TTATTATTATTATAATATTGCGACAAATTTCGAACCACTTCACTCACACCAGTAAAATAGATTTTCTTTATATTTCGTGATATGCATGTTGTTGCCTGCGTAATACGTTTCAGATGAAGAAAACAAAATTGAAAGATCTGAATGATTACGTAGTTATATTTCCTTTTTTTTTAAGAGCCGAAAAAAAAACAGCGCGTCTCCAAGCGTCGTTGAATGGCCAGAAAGCGCCCTTGCATTGGGTATTTTAAAAAAAGATGCGTCGACATCGTTGTGTGTAGACCAGCATAGACGCTTTTGTGATTATGCATGTTTTGAGTGGTGATCATAATCTGTGAAAATAATATGTATGCATGGGGGTCTACTATTTACATCATATAATAATTATTATGCTATAATCGAGGATTTTTATCTTTTAAAATCGTGTTCAAAACGATCAAAACTCATCTTAAAATATTTTAACAATTATTTCTTGTCATAAGAATCGAAAAAATGTAGTCTAGTACAGCTTTCAGCGATAAACTCTTTCACGTTGGAAGCTTTGATGGTTGGTCGTGTCTACACAGGGCGCCTGAAAGCGGTGGGTTTATTGCAGTCAAACCTGCAATAATGACCACCTGACCAAGACAATCACCCTTACAAACAACCACTCCCTACAACCCCCTTGTTTTTCTTTTCTGTGTTATGATGATACTGTCAAAGAGCACCACCTGTCTAAGATGGCCACTTGCCTTCTCGACAATGGGTGGTCGTTTTGGACAGGTTAGAGTGTACTTTCCTGTCCTTTTTTTGCGGTCAGAACGCAGTTATTTCATCCTCTCTGTTGTTGAAGAAGTTTTGGTTTGTTGCGGAGTCTTCTCTCGTCTCTCTATCTTCTGGTGCTACAGCTGTGACGTCTGTGTCTACAGCTGTGACGTCTGTGTCTACAGCTGTGACGTCTGTGTCTACAGCTGTGACGTCTGTGTCTACAGCTGTGACGTCTGTGTCTACATCTGTGGCTTTGGGCGTGTCGTTTGTCTTTATTTCATCAGGAGTGGCCAGTCCGTCTGAAAAACGAACTTTTTTGGCATAATCTGGTTCGGGTTCTACAGGGGGAAGATTGTCGGTCTCGACTGCACTATTGTCACTCTGCTCTGGGGAGAAACTCGTTGAAGACACTGGAGAAAGAGAATCCAAAGGCGAGGAAGAGATTAGCGAACTTGGAAGTGGCGGTGGCGAAGGTGGGGGGTTATGTTGCTTTGGACCCATGATATCCACATCTTTTGGTTCATCTTCCCGCGAAGAAGCCCGCCTAGCAGGCACGGAGTAAATGGCGTTTTCATCTACACCTTTATTCAGCTCGGAAATAACATTAGCATACAAGGAGACTGGTGTTTCCTCTTGATTGTTTTTTGCGTTATCGTTGTTGTCTTCATCATGGTGCCCACTGTCAGCCTCACTACTCCTAACGCTGTTATTTCTGCCCTTTTTGGGGGAGTCGTACACCCCGTCCTCCTCATCTGACGCCCCAGATGATTCACGAGGCATTTCCGCGACGTACACGACTTCAGGTGCTTCTTTCTGTGCCGTATCGTTAGCTGTCGCTGCTGCATTGCCCACGTTAATGATTGACTTGAACACTGGAGATGGAATGGAGCTCGCGTTCTCTCCTGCAATGTCAGCGCCGAAGTGAGTGACCCTCTCCTGGTCTCCGGAAGCGATTTCAGAGTACGGATTGTCAGAATTGCCATGTGCATCTTTCACTTCCACGTCGTCGGGTGATGCCAAAACTGCCTGAGGGGTTTGGGTTTGAGTCTCATCTTCGTCTCTGACGTAAGCCATATTGACGAAACTGTTCAAACCGTTGGGCCCGCCGTTCGAAGCGGACGCCACCGACCCGTTGTTGGCGCTGTTAGAAAAGCTGTTGTAGTCGCTGTTGTAGTTGTTGTTGTTGGAGCTGCCGTTAGAGTTGGAGTGTTTGTTGGGCCCATGGCTCAGGGTGTTGTCGTAGATGGAGGTGTCCTTGGTCAGCTTGCTGATCACGCGACTGTGTTGTCGGTTCCTGCGGAGAAATAGTTGACGTTCAAGTAGATTATGTCACTTCAGACATGAAGCATTTCCCCCGATGGCAATTGTTTGTCAACCTTATTTTTTAGTCCATTCACCCACTCGCCTTGTTGAAGAGGCAAAAATACGTTAGTACCGCGTTATTCAATAACACCTGTCGCTACCTGGCTGATCCCCACTTCAAAACATAATTACCAAATCGCCTACTTGTGAGCGATATAGTCCAGACTGGCAATCACTGTGCTAAAATAAAGAATGAAAGGAAATAAAAAGGAGAGGATCTAGGATTGTTAATGTTTTGCATTCAATCAGGATCGTTGATGGACAAGCTGGTCTTGTGTTGCCAGTCAAGCTCAAATTGGGCTCTGTGGGATACAGAATACCAGTACATATAAAAGACGGGACTACTTGAAAAACGTTTAAATTTATCCACACGTGGAAAATGAAGTCACATCTTTTCCGAGCCAAAAGTCTAAGCATCAAACCACAGTCGTCGAAGGGAAGAGTATTAAAATATGGGAGTGTATACAGACCCGGTAACCGGGAACAAAGTCACGAAGTCTACAGACCCGGTAGGAGAAATCTTTTATGATTTCGGAAAGTTTAAGCGCCCTCTTGGCCCCTTGGCTCAGAGTAGACTTAGGTTCTTCTAGATCTATGGCCTAGGTCTAGTTTTGAGGCCTACATCTAGATCTAAATGAAGATTGCGGACGTCTTTTCGATGAACGATTGTTTTCCCTCTGTTTTGGAGTTGGAGGAATTCTAAGACATTTTGAGAAAAAGAACAATGTCATAATTTCAATCGAGCAGTCGCTCTCTCTATTCCTCTGTCTCTCTCTCTCCTCTTTTTCTGCCTGCCCACCCCCCCTCTCTCTCTCTCTCTCTCTCTCTCTCTCACACACACACACACACACACACGCACAATCTCTCTCTACCGGGCCTGGGCGCTGAAACTTTCCGAAATCACAAAAGATTTCCCCTACCGGGTCTGTATACTTCGTAACCTTGTTCCCGGTTACCGGGTCTGTATACTTCGTAACCTTGTTCCCGGTTACCGGGTCTGTATACACTTCGTTAAAATATACACCAAGAATGCACTTCCAAGAATGGATGTCCAGATGTGTGTCTTAAAAGCTGCAGGAGTTACACTGCAAGGTTACCCCCCCCTCCCTCGCCCCCCCTCCTTCAAACAACTAAACAGAAGTTAATACCAAAATAAAAGAAATTAAGCAAAATAAAAGAACAAAAAAGCACATTAAAAAAAATACCAACAAAAAAGAGCAAAAACAAATAAACACAAACAAACAATAAACTAAATAAATAATAATTAAAAAAACAACGTACAACACACACATGTTACTGCATAAGTAAGGAGGTGGCTTTTTCTGGGATTACGAAAGGGGAAATGTTGGTTAAAGCAAGTCTTTTAAAAGTCAATTTAAGTTTTCAGTATAATAATATGTGCGTTTTATCCTTCATAAAGAAGGGAAGAAAAAAAGAACGAAAAGAAAAAGAACAACGACAAAATAAAAATATATAAAACAAACCAAAACAACC